CTGGTACGCAAGTATTGTGCGTATAATTTGGTGCTATAGCTTTTGTTACCGATGCCACTTTGTCTGAATTGCCTTTTGGTTAAAACAAGTACAGGGTGCCTTTATTCCATTCCAAAGCATGTGTTTTGCCATTGTCTAAAGCTGGATTTATCATGATTTCATGGAGTTCCAACATTTGTTAAAAAATAAGTAATTTAATTTGCATGCAATTGGATTTATCAATAAAACGCCAGTTCACCTTAAGTTACCAAGCTTTCATAAGACTTCATTTTTCTGGCAGCTCCATCATAAAAAATGTTAACATCTGATTATGGCTGTCACTTTTTATTTATTTCCATTTGCCACTTTTGTGGAAAATATTTTGTTCAAATCGGAAGAGAAGACATTTGATCAAAATAACCGAAATGGGTGCAAGGCGTGATGTTGCGACACTTCTTCAGCGTGTGCGTGCATTCCTGTTGGGCGTAAGTTCATATAAAGACAACTAATAAGCCTACTAAATTTTGCGTTATATAATGCAATCTACTATTCCATTTAGCGCGAACACACTTTGGCTGTGCGTTTTGAAGATGGTCTAGCCGATCGTACGCAGCCTCCACCTGAGGTGCCTGGTGGTCCTGCACATTTATTAGCTGCAAACTACTACCACAAGCGTGACCCACGGCGGGAGGTGCAACCACCCATCGATGTGCAGCAACAGCTATTAGCAGACAAGGCGGGCGCACAAACAGAAAAACTGCCAACACCTGGATCAGTCTACCGCTGGGATTAAATTAGAAGTAGAAACGCGCGGCTAAAATTATAAAATGATATGAAAACTCTCTTTTTCTGAAAAATATAAACAAATCCTAACTTACAATATTAGCGAATACATGTAAAGTATATTTATTATCTATGCTATTAATTTACGTTTGCGAAATCCCATTTGCCAACCCGTTTTAGATTCCAGCACTACCCGCACTGTGGGCACAACATCGGCGCCTAGGGACAGTAACTCATACACCTGTACTATGCGTGCGATAAACGTTTTCATTTCGAGCAAAGCAAAGCGTTGTCCAATGCAATTGCGTGGACCAGCGCTAAAAGGTACAAATGCAAATGGATTTTCATTTGCCTGTCGTTCGGGCATAAACTTGTGCGGTTCCGGAAAGTAGTCTGCATCATTTTGTATCTCATAAATTGCCAAGAGTACACTAGTTCCCTTGGGTATGCAGTTACCATCTGTGAAGGGTAAATACTCAAGCGTTTTACAAACGTATTTTACACCTAAAATTTACTTACGTATGTAGCAATCCTCCATAAGAGTGCGTCCAATATAAGGTACCGGCGGATACATACGTAAAGCTTCCTTAATAACTTGTTCTGTATATTTTAATTGCATTAACTGACTTTGTGTAATAGCTTGTTGTGCACTAGTACCCAGCACTTCAACAATTTCAGCATAAAGTTTGAATTGTACATCCGTGTTGCGTGAAATGCAGTAGAGTGCAAAAGCTATAGCACTTTTCGTCGTGTCGTGGCCCTCGAACATGAATGTATCCACTTCCTCACGTATATCAACATCGGTCAGGGAGTGACCGTCTACGGTGGCTGAGAGAAGGACATCAAGTAATGCCTGGCGACGTTTAATGCCAAACTCTACGGGCCGAGAAATGAAATTGTTTGAGGAATGCATTAGGGATTATTAAAAGAACGAAATTATTGTTGTTAATAAAAACAAATTAAAGAAATGGTTGCAAAGAAATGTTTCGATTCCGTTTCCGGCAAACCCCAAATGCTGCCAGACGGTTGGTATGAAATAGTTTATATCAATTTTAAACTTCAATTTTTCATAACAATATTTTTTAATTACGTTGTTTTTTAGTAATCTCTTTTTTGTTAGTATACTGCGTACTTACGAGTACTTTGCCATATCTCCTCTCTTCTGCCAATTTTTCGGCAAACTTAAATTTTATCCGATAAAACTAATCTGGCAGCACTCAAAGGCGTTCATATTCCCGCTTCTGTTATAGGTTTTAACTGCTGTTTTTCTAAGGTTGGTGTTATGCAGAAATTTTGTTTGGCAAACTGCGTGCAATTGTTGTTGTAGCAAACTCGGAGAGAGCAAGTTTGGCGACTATCAAAGCAAACTAATTTTGTTTGGTCAAACTGCAGCAAATTCGGTGTTGTCATATGCAAAAATTTTAAATTGTGCGCGTTATGTACATCTGAAATTCTCATTTCGTGTTGGCAATAGCCATGGAAACCATAATGAACGTGCAACCCTGTGCCAAACTCCGAGCAAACTAAGCAGCCGCCATTTAATTTGGCAAACAAAAGTTTGTCTGCATAACACCGACCTAACTTTAACACACCATCATTGCGCGCGAGCTGCTGTTTATCAATTTCCGCCTGCTGCTTTAACATTTCCTCGCGTCGCTGCCTGATAATACGCTCAGTAAATGCGTGTAAGGCTGCCGTTACTGTTATATGGCGTTTCGCTAGCCGCGGTGCAAGTAATTGGAAAAGCCAGTTTGGACGATAGACGAGCGTCACATAGCGCTTAAGTATAATATGTATCATTCTAAATGAGATTTTGGGATTAAAACAGTCAGAAGAAGTGAAACTATTAATTCGCTATTTACTCCGTCAATAGATGTACATATTCACATCCTTCATCAGTTTGAGCATTAGTACGCACACCCATCGCGCTTTCACAGATAACATCCAGTGTCGCGAGAGCCACGGGATTCTGTATATCCACAATTTGCACACCATCTGCAGACTTTTCCAACTTACCCACAAGAATTTGTGCTTGCTGATCGAATATGCGTACGAAATCCTCAAGTATGCTAAAGTGAAAGGTGGGCGTAATAACACGACGACGACTCTGCCACTTCGCACCATAGCTAACAAGCAGACCATCGCCTAACCAATCGTTTAGTAAGCTATACATGCGATTCTTGCGTATCTCCGTGGGATGGCTCAGCAGTGTTTGGGCGAAACGCAAATCACACACAAACATGGCGTGTATGTGTAGCACCCAAAAGCGGGCTACCCGTCCAAAGCGATTTCGTATGTAACGGCTGAGTGAAATAAGTTCTTCAGATAGAGCAAAAAAAAAATTTAGTAAAATATGAGCACATATAATTGGGAGCAGAAATGAGTACACGGTGATTTTTTTTTAAATATTTGCAAGTTTTATAAAGTTAAAATTTTGTTGATGTTGTTTTTTCATAAAAATATGGTTCATGCTTTAATCAAACCCATTTAAATCAAAATTTCAAACCTTATACAGAACTTGTTAAATATTTTCAAGGTTTTTCAAGTTATTTTTTTATTTTTTTTTCATAAAAATATAATTCATGTTTTAACCAAAACCGTATAAATCCAACTTTCAAACATAGCTTAGTCAAAATTTTAACTTTTTAATCTGACTTAAAGCCGTCAGCAAAAAAAAAAAATGGTTTTATGGTTTTGGTTAAAGTATATTTAGGTATATGGTTTTGGTTAAAGCATGAACCATTTTTTTATAAAAAACAAGTAAGAAAGTCTAAGTTCGGGCGGAGCCGAACATTAAATACCCGGCGCAAGTATTAAATATATGTTTTCCACCTTTCCGAAAGCTACCGCTACATGATAAGCCGGCGTGTATAAATTTTAAGTAAACTAGCGTCCTTAAATTTCAAAATATTGAAATTTCAAGCATTTCTGAAATTTACCGTTATATGAAAAGCGGCCGTAATTTTAGTCCGATTTCAACAATTTTCAATGGTTTACTTTTATGTGGCAAGCACAATAACCATACCGAGTTTGGTACAAATTGCTAGAACGGTTAGCGAGATACATATACGTGATCATAAGTGGGCGGTGCCACGCCCATTTTCCAAAATTTTATCATAAACGTATTTCCTGGCAAAGAATTGTTGCAACCATCATTTTGAATAAATTAGATTTAATATTTACTGATTTATGGAGGATTTCGTATTTCTCGAAATTACCGTTATATGGGATGTGGGCGTGGTTATTGTCCGATTTTAAAAATTTTCGGCCAATTGGTATGCTGTACCAGGGCCAACAATTGTGCCAAGTTTGGGATAAATTGATGCAGCGGTTACCAAGATATACACATGTAACCATAAGTGGGCGTGGCTACGCCCATTTAAAAAAAAAAGTTGATATTCTTATTTTTCGTCTAAAATTTATTATAAATATCAATTTTGAGTGAATTATCTTCAGTAGTTACTAAAATATCGCAGTTTTTGTATTTCTGAAAATTACCGTTATATGGGAGGTAGGCGTGGTTATTGTTCGATTTTGCCCATTTTCAATACCATCCGTCCTACGCCCGAAAGAAGTACACGTACCAAGTTTCGTTAAGATATCTTAATTTTTACTCGAGTTATCGTGTGCACAGACGGACGGACAGGCGGACGGACGGACGGACGGACAGACAGTCACCGCTTAATCGATTTCTCTTTTCATTCTGATCATTTATGTATACATTTGTCTATATCTATCTCGATTCGTTTTGCCTGTTACAAACAACCGTTATGTGAACAAAGTTATAATACCCTTGTGCACAAGTGCGCTCGGGTATAAAAATAATTTAACTTTAAAAACCTTGCAAATATTTAACAAAAATTACCGTATACTCATTTCCGCTCCCCACTGTGTGTATGTACGTAAATCTGCACAATCGATAGCAGTCAACGAACCATCAGGTTGCACGCGCGTATAAATCCAAATGGAACCTAAAATCGGTAGATTCAATGGACCAGGCAGTTTTGACCATTTAAAGTTCACGTCGCGTTTCCAGAGATAATCGGCAAACATGCAAAGGACAGATAAGACCAATAACAAAGAGAACCACATCATTTTACGAAGAAAGTGAGTAATGAACTGTAGTAGTTAGCGTAACTTATTAATGCAATCTAAACTTTTCCTATAGTAAATCGGTAATTTGTTCTAATTGGATGTATGGATGTATGTATGTATGTATAAACTGGATAGGTATGTGACTGTGACCTTTGTTCGTTTTTTTTCGTGCCGATTCAACGCTTGTCATCTGTAGCGTTTGCCAACAGCAAAAGTATGTATAAATTAAAAAGTCGTCGGGGTGTAATAGTCATTAGATTACACTACCCAGAAGATAATTTAGGTAGGCCTTCTTAAGTGAAGCCATCCTAAGAGGCCTACCCAAGAAGGGCTGACAAAGTACTTCCTTGCATGCCTTCTAGAAGGGCTTATCCATTTACAATTTACGCGAATGCACAAATTTATATTATTTAACATTACAAATGAATTCCAATAAAAATTTTAAGTTACAATAACACACATTTGATATAAACCTTAAGCAAACACTTCAAAGATGTATGATTTTTATAAATTAAAGAAGCAACTTTAAAGAACTCCTCCAAAAAAAAGGTCAGGCTACCGCTGGGAATTCACGTCGATGATATACCAATTCCGACGGTGAATAACCCCAAAATACTCGGAGTAACATTCGACAGCCTGCTCTCCTTCTCTGCGCACGCAACCGCTATTGTCAACAAAGTACAGAGCCACAACAAAGTCCTCAAGTCGCTAGCCGGCAGTACTTGGGGCAAAGACAAAGAAACGTTGCTGGCAACATACAAGGCAACAGGCCGGCCGGTTTTAAACTACGCAGCACCAGTGTGGTCGCCGTGGACTATTTGGACGCAGCGAATGAAGCTACAGACAGCACAAAACACAGCACTTAGGATAGCGACCGGATGCCTCCTGATGTCACCAGAACACCACCTCCATGATGAGGCGAAAATGCTCCCAATTAGGCAGCATAACACTATGCTCTGCAAGCAGTTTCTGGTTGGGAGCCACAGATGTGGCCACCCAAATAGACAGCTGCTT